AAACCCCCCTCCTTGTTCACGTAGCACAAAATAGGCTAGATACTCTCTGTGGGAACGATCCCTACTCGCACTACTGCATGTGTTTTTAGGAGTATAGGTTTTATTTTTGGGTGCCTACGACAGCATGCCAGTTCCCTTAAGATGCACCTATCAAAGTTCCAATCCAAATGTCCTACTAACTCAATTCTACCATCCACTCTACTAACCCAGTTAATTATTCCATTTGTCTCTAAACATGTTTGAAGTCTTATGCCTTAACTTGTGCAGATGGTTAACAGATGCTATTATTGTCCCACTGTTAGACAATTTTTTCCTAAGAAATCTAATTTCTTTTTCCTAACTATGTCATCCCAGACATATTGGGCATCCAATTGATCACCATTTGGAAGGCTCAATACACCACAAAAGTCATCCAATCTAAAGGAGCTAATTTAGCCCCTACAAGAGGGCAAACAATTTTTCCCTGAATGAGTTTCTGTCCCTAATAGGACTTGATAAGCTTAGAATAAGAAAGTTATCATAATTTCTAAAAAGCCCAATTATTCCCAGTTCTCCAGGATTACCTAGAGTACATCCATCAAAGTTGAATTTTATCTATAGCTTTCCAGAGCAACTAGTCCAACAAGAGATGTCTTCTTCGTTGTGTGTGAGGGTGACATGTTAATCCATGCCTCATGGTTTAAAAAGGTCAACATATTTCCTAATATTTCTAGAACATATTTCCATTTCCATGGACACCAACACAGGGCTATGGGCAGACAAAAAAGGACATAGGTAGAAGTAGTAAGAAATGATTTAAGTGTTCATAATTTAACAGTGGATATAGCATTAAACAGAATGAAATGGCAAAACAGGATTCATAGAACTGAAACTGAAAAGAGGGAGGAAACAAATGCAAATCCTAAAAATTTATTTTGAAGATGAGATGGATATGAGAAAATGAATTGGGATGCAATAATTTCAAAATGTCTAAGTGAATATAATTGAACATGCAGAAAATTTCTGTCCATAGAACTGAAACTGAAGAGGCATAAAGGAAGTGAAAATGGTACTTAAGAGTATATCCATCAAAAGAAAAGCTACTTAAAAGTATCAATTAGAAAATATATTAGGAACAAGGACTTGGGAAGACATTAAAGAACATAAAAGTGAAGTTCAAAGATCCATTTTTTATGAAACAAACAAGCTAACGAGACAACCAAGGCCTCTTGGTATAATCCAGTGTGTCATCAAAATGTAAAAGAGGCCCCCAGTTGCTGTAACTGTCTATATGCACCTTGTGAACTTTTCTGAATGGAAACATAAAATCAAGCTTCCTTAGAAAATTTTAACTCTAACTGATGAGGAAACAGAACAATAGGGCCTGTGATCCTTAACAATCGGATGCCACAACAAAGGCCAAGCTGAGAGCAAAGTTGTCAGTTGTATATCAAAAGTCAACTGCATTGCCATCAGCCGCCAATTTGCAATAATGTAGACACAGTACTTCATCAATACGAATAATAGCACTATATAAGTAACCTAGTTCTCTGCATTTTGGGTACCCAAACATTACTATCCTATAGTTCTGAGGGTTGATTTAACTCAACTCTATGGCATTAAATTTGTAAGCCTTAGTTATCAATTTACAAATAACAGTGAAGTTCTTACCCGTCGCCAAGTTCCGGCCATCGGATGAGAAGCATAGACCAGTGACTGAATCACCATGACCTTTCAGAGTATTCACATCCAATGGATGATGACGTTTGCTTTGATCCTGAAACTTTCCATAGAGATTTTAATGTTATGACATAATTAAATAATTAAGAAAACGAATCTGAAATTTATGAAGGTCACCGAGAAACCTTTTCAGTAGCATGCGAGTGAGATTTCGAGTGTAGTTTCTTCGATATTGGCTGGGTAGGCTTTGAAGGCTTCTGCGCCGCATTCGGTTCAGGTTTCGCAATGGTCTGAACTTCGGATCTTTTCCTCTTGAAGTAATCACCGAAGAACAAGAGAACAAGAAGACCTCCGAGCACAATTGAAAGTATAGAAATCGGAAGAACTGACAACCCTAGAAATGTTGAAGGTTGGGATTCAGGCTCCATTCTTTCTCTTTTATTTCTCTCGTTAATTAATCACCAATCTGGCAATGTCAACCGATTTGCTCAGCTCGTTTCGTGATCTGTTGTGGGCTTGGAAGCATCAACTGTGAAAAGCCAGCCACCAGCAGCAGCAATTGATTTAAAAAGGAGAAAACCACACTGCGCAAGTTAGCATTGAAATGAGAGGAACGAAAAAATTTGAGCAGGTGGCGCAATGGGAGCACTCTTGACCCTCTTGAACCTTGTATAGACTCTATTGCGAAATTGCATTGAATTGTGATGTTTTCATCAACGGACAACGATGACAATACGAATTCGAAGTTGTTGAAATAATCGTGCGAGCGAGAGCGATCACACTGAACAAATCGAGTTAATCCTACCGTGTTCGTTGGTTATTGGCTTGAAAATAGAACAAAGCGTTAGCTTTCACAATTCACCGTTGAATTGCGGTGGTCTCCTGTCCAAGTGGACGGAAGAAGCTTTTCATCTTTTGCCAAAACCATCTGATTGTAAGATCAATATAATAACTTACGTGAATTGCGATATATCTTATCAATCTTGGCTCTGCTCTGCTAATGGACTGGTTGGAGCAATGAGTAACGATTGACGAACAGGGTAGAGTGGGGGATCACGCGTTATCCGCGTGACCGCTTCTCCCAGTCCCAGCGATGGACAACGATGCCACGTTGCCAAAACCTCATGATCCCATCAGCATGAATTTACATCACGATTTCGTATCTCTTACGGACGCATCGTAAACCACAAAATTTTGCGAATTGACAGAGTAACGGTTTGTACAATTTGTAGTGTTTACTGTTCACTAATACTAACAAGAAGTCAAATGCTAAGGTCTACACAAAACAATAGGTTCCGTTTGGTTTGAGGTCGGAATAGGAATCATCTATTCTCCTGCGGCCTGTTTGGTTTAGACAGAAATGGAATGAGAATTTACAAACATAGTTGTCATTTGTGAAGGCCACAAGGTGCCTTTCAAGGCTCGCCTCTAGTCGTCAAGCAGTTTTGTGCACTATTTTATAAAATACTTTTACATTATAATTTCTTTTTATTATTTTCTTATTTGTTAAGGTTTAATCAATACAAACATTGCTAACTGTTGTACTAACCCATGGTTCAAAGTATCGATACACCTCTATGTATTAACTGAGGTGTATTAGTATTTATAAAGATACTCCCCCTATTTTTTTATTTCTTTGGAAGTGGGTCCTTGAAAACACCTGTAAATATGTGTATCAGGACCCCAAAGATAAAATAAATACACTTGATACGAGGCGTATCGTATCGAAATTTTGATCCTTGATTTAACCCTCAAAGATTTCAAAACCTGAATCAATAAGCAAGGGAAAAACTTAAACTTTTTGTCTAATCAACACATTTTCTTCTTCCACATTTTCTTTTCTTCCTTTCCCATAACAAAAATAGGGGTTCAATGATGAGGGTAGAATTTATCACATTTTTATCTCCAATTATTTTGTCTTTCATACCTAATTAATACTTAATTGGACTCATATCTCTTGTATTTTGATTCAGGGCATGAAAGAAGGCATTAGGAGCAAAGAAAGGCTAATTGGATGGGTTTTTCACAGTTTCGACAATGATCAGTAATCCGGGCCTAACTTTCATATCCGAGCTCCGATTGGGCTGATTCAAGATCCACTGGAAAGATAAGAGATAAAGATACAGCTTTCATGTTTTGGGATTTCGTAGATTCGACGTACATCGAAGTCAAATCCGGACCCAAAGATGGAGCACTTTCATACTGATGCCCAATTCCCAACTGAAGCCCATTTCGTCGAAGAACATTGAGGCAGCCCAAGATATTAAAGTTGCCCATTCGAATTCAAGAGTTCGAGAGTCCTCTTAGATTTAAACATTTAAATGTAATTCCAGAAAGATTAAGAAAGGTTTTAGATAAGGAGAGAAGATAGGATAGGATAGGAGGAGTTTGGATCAAGGCTGGATTATCCATTCTTGAGATAACTCCAAGAAATTGTAAGCTATATGAGAGTTGGGTGCACCAGCCCAAGGGGGGATCACGAATTGCATTGAGCWATCAATCAAGAGAGGAGAAAAGAAGTCAAGAAACAGAGGAAAGGTGATCAARARTTCAAGAAACTTCAAGAAGAAGGTGGCGGCAAGAAGAGGAGATCTCAGCACCATGGGCGAATTCAAGWGTTCTTTCTTTCCCTTTGTTTGCTTTAATTCTCTTATCATGAACTGATTTGTTTCTTGCTAGGGCTGTGGAAAGCCTAACCATGTTAATGAATATATTTT